AATGGATTTGGATTTAAATCAAATTTAAATTCATAAATTCTTGTATATCCAAATGAGGGATTTGGTTTAAATCCAAATCCAAATCCAAATTTAAATGCTCATTAACCCAAACATACCATTAATTCCAGACATTTTCAGCCACACAATTTTTAGGACTGCATCCATAACTGTATGAATTAAGGTCTCAATAATAAGAATTCTATTGTTCTGTTCGCTTGACTTGGAATTGGAAGTTAGGCAGCTCAATATGAACAATGCCTTCTTAAACGGATACTAGAAGCTTTAATTTTCTTAATCTTAGACTGCTGCTGCTTATTTTTGTATTAGTGATCATAAAACTTGAGCTTTTTTCAGTCCCAAGTGGGTCTGAAATCCTTATTTTCTTGTTGTGGGCTTTAGCTTAGATCCAGTGCTTGCCAAAGTTAATACCATGCATGGACACGTCCAAAGTGTGTTTCTTTGAGTTTAGGCTTTTGACTTTTCTGCAGCACTTGTGCACTCTTCAACTTGCTATCCTACGGCGGTCATATAAGACATTTTGTATCAGTTTGTGGAAGTAGTGTTTTGAAACTCAAGATCGGACTTCAACTGAAAAATAACACATCACGTTTTTATGATTCAACCAATTAGACATGAGATTGAATTGATGACATAAAAATTAAATAAAAATAATATTTATATACACAAATATATAAATAAAGCATTAATTTGTCTATAGTGCTTGGAATTTCGGCATCAAAGGCTAGATGCTTGGACCGCTAGAGCTGGAGATAAAGGCATGTCAGCACAAGCTCGTGATCTTAAAGGAAAATGTTAGAGCCAGAGGCATGCTGTTATGTCACGACTCATGAGCTTTTAATTTCAATGTCAAAGGTTGGATCGCTAAAGTTGGAGACAGATGTTGAAGGAGAAGTTAGAAATGGAGTTTATGTTATGAAGGAGAGATTAGAGATTAGAGAAGAGAAGACAGAAGAGAATTAGAGACTAGAGAAGAGAAATCATACATCTGAAAGACTTAATCTAATTTTTTTTTGCTTTAAACCAGGTTGACCTACTCTAGTTTTCGGGTCAAAGCTAGCTCAAATGTTAGATTGGTTCCTTCTTTAGTCTTTTTTACAGAATAATGAGAATTTTTTTATCTTATTTATTAAGAACTTTGATTATTGTGTCTATTTTTACTCTTTTACTCCTATTAAATACTTTTTTCCATTTAAAAATATAAGGCATTTTTAATCGAATCTTACTCCCTAATAAAGTAATTACTTACTTTTTAACTAATCCTATCTTTTCATATTTACCCCTATTAAACACCTTATAATAAATATAAAGTCATTATCAATAGGGACATTTTTAGAAAAAAGACAATAAAATATGTTATTAAATGCCTTGCATTTTTGATTATCCAACTCCTCAAAAAATGTTTTATATTTTTTAACGGGGGGAGTATAATAAAAGTTATTAAATATTAGAATATTTTATTTTTAAAGTACATATATTTAATATAGTAGTAAAGTTAGGAACTTATTGAATTTTTAGATAAAATTAATCAAGTTTAAATTTTTTCTTGATTTTTATGAAATATATTAAAAGTGACTTATAAATAAAAATGAAATGGTTATATAATTGCAATACTAAAGTAGTTGTAGAGCTCTAATGCCTTAATTACAAAGCCTATTTGAGTTTTTATTGTTAATAAATTAAGTCAATTCACGCATGCTCTTACCGATCTCCATTGGCAGACAGTTAAGGGAGCTTATAAATATGCTAAAAAGGACTACTACTCCATGGTATTCATATATTTGGTTGACAAATAAATTGGACTATATCGATCATTGGTTCACTTAATAAACAACAGATTGAAACTTAGTTCAGAACATTTCCAAGACGACTTTGTAAAAATCAAACAGTCAAAAAATTGATTTACGATCATTAAAAAAGAAATCTAAATTTTCCTATAAAATTTAAAAACATGTTATTTTAATTAATTACAATTTATTTTTATTATTGCCAAATCAATCAGCTTTGAATCGTTAATTGTCTTTACCAATTCAATGACCGACACACAATTTTGAAAATATTTTCGAATTCCTCTAGGACGCAATAGCAGTTTATGAATAGCATGACTTTGCACTTGAAGAAAGTTTTACCATGACATGAACCCGGGAATTTAAGTATCCTTTTCATTTGTATTCTATTTATAACAAATTTATTCTTCTCAAATGCATTATTTTTTAAGTACATTATGTTTTGAGGCACTACGACAGGTAATCTACATTCAAAACACGCTGTTCAATATTCTACAGGTTTGTATTTTTCGTAGAGGGTTGACTTAGAATAACAGTTTTTGGAGAGGGTGGACTTGAGAGACTTTTTGGAAGAAGATGGACAATAATTTCTAGTTCAGGCGTTATGAAAGCAATATATATAACTATATAATGGTGCCGTATATATATTGCGTAGAAGCGACTGACTTCAAAGTAAACGGAAAGAAAAACAAGGAGTTGGGTTCGGTGAATATCCTAATTTCACTTATTTAATAAATGTTTTAATTGCAGCTATTAGATTTCATCAACAGTGAAAAATTGTCAAGATATATTTTTCTCTAAAAATTCAAAAAATCTTTTAACTCTTATGCATGCAGTCACTTAAAAAAAATTGAAATTTAAAACTTTCCGAGTATTATTTATATAGCAAAATCTTTTTTTTTGCCAAAAATATAGCAAAATCTTTAACAGTTATTCAATTAAATCAAGTATTATTTATATTTAGGCTATTTACTATTCCAAATCCGATAAACAAAGCTTCATTGTTGTTAATTTCTTTCCAAGATGGCTGCTAGTATATGAGGTTGGTTACGAGTGTTGAATCTTCTCCCTACGAATGATTTGTTTTTTTTTTTTTTTTAATTCAATAACTGGGGACGTAACATATGTATTTGCCAAATAGATAGTGTTGGGGTATTCAAATATTTTATCATTGTGAATCCCTCGCTGTGTAGACGGAGGCTATAAAATAAAAATAAAAACAAGCAAGTTGGACTTTTTATAAGTTTTTTTTTGTGTTTATGACATGGAAAATAGATAATTTTTGTGCGTTGGAAGGGGAGAGAGATATTATTAAGTTATGAATAATGTGATTCCTTGCATAGAAAACATTTATTTATTTTATTAAAAATTCTTCCAAATTGAAAAGAACAAAAAGAAAAGGTAACTAATAAGCATTTTGTTGTCTAGTTGGCATAAAAAATAATATTCTATTTATTAAGTGATGAATAGTATGGTTGAGAAGAATGACAAAATAAGAGGGAACCAGTGATTCCGATATTTTGCGTAGAGTCTAAGAAGAGTGATATTATTTATAACTTATAAATCATATAACTTTCCACAGAATAATTCTATTGAACATATATATATATATATATATATATATATAAAATACAAATCGATCACACCAAAAGCACGATCAGGCACTACCTGTACGTGGATACCCTTTCCAGCGAGGATTCAAATACCGATTCATCATGTTATAAGGGATTTGCTCCTTCCATTATGCCTAATTCCCATTGGTAGTTATATATAGTAGAGCTTTCTATAGATTTATTAGCGGGATTGGGTCTAGCGAGAAGGGTTAGTTTTTCACAATGTGATAAACTAAAATTCGAATCTTCACTAAAAAAGATACTCATTTAGTGTTCAATCGTATCTCAAATAGGATCACCTTCAACATAAAGATACTTGTGAGCAAAAATAAAAAAGCTTTCTATTCTATAGATTTTAATAGTGTTTTATAAAGAATATAAAATATAGTTAAACCTCTTTTTCTTTTGCAACGAAGAGAATTAATTTTTTTCAACAATGAAACAGAAACAAGAGCTGCAGAAATGGAAGCATAAATGCTGCATTCACTTCTTAGAAACATCCCACGTTTAATAGCATTCAAAACCTGTTTGTAACTTGTGTAACCTCCGTTTTAGTCCTTCTATTTTCGTTTGGCCATGACAGTATAAATAGGGCACAGTTTCAATGTAATAGCAGCTAATTTTGAATGAATAAACAAGAGTGCCCTTTTATCCATTCGGTTTTTGAGCCAAAAATAATTTTGAGTGTTTTTTTAATTACAAGTTTGAGAAGACTTGGTCATAGTAAAATCCAAATAATGTCTTCAATTTTATCTTTTTAACAAAATATATATAGACACACACATGCGCATACGTGTGTTTGTGTGTAACAATTTTTTAAGGGAATAGCAGCCCCTAAATTATATTTCTTGGCCAAGATTCCGATTACAGATAAGATCTGGAATTTTAAAAGTTCATGTGTCTGAATCGGTTCTACGGGCAATGTCTTCTCAAGACGTCATACATAATCATAATTGTCCATTTTAATAATAAATCATTATTTGATCTAATTTAATTAGGTGCCTGATTTTATAAGACTGCTATATTATAAAACAAGAACGTGATTTACAGCTCATTACTATTAAAAATTTTATTTTCAAAATTTGGTCGTAGTTAAAAATCTCTAGTAAGTAAGCTCAGTTTAACATGGCCTATCGACTTAATATATCATTATAACATGTATTATAAATAGTATGGCTTACTCCTTGTATTTTATATAATACACGGGGAAAATATCTAGTTATAATGAAAATTTGTGTTTTTAAAGTCATCTAACTATAATCAATCAAAATGAAATCTTAATTTGAAATGCCACCTAGACCTGTTCTATTATTCTTAGATGAATTCTGAAGAATAAACTATACTATTTGTAACTTGAAAATAATATGTTTTGTTATGAATCTTATTATATATATATATATTGATTAAACATTTTCGGAACAGATGGAAATGAATTATAATATAAAGAAATGGGGTTATTTCTGTAATTCAATTAGAAGTGAAACCCTACATCTTCATACTAAGCATATAATGGCTTTAACGGTATAAAAGTCAACGTCCATCTTAATCGTCTTCATTCATGAAGAATGAAACCCTATATCTTCATACACACGCACAGAAACACACACACAGACATGGTTATATAGTTTGCTGTCATTTTCAATCCGCCTGCTTTTCTACTCTTATAAGTAGCGTCTCCCTTCATCATTCATTCTTCACCTTCTCTATCACTCTTTCTCTCTCTTCTGCAAGAACACCATGTTGCTATACCTGCAACAAAAGCCCTGCTTCATCTTCTTTCTCTTAAGTTTCATAATCTGGTCATGGGGGACACTGGACGGCGTCGTTTCGGACCCACAGACCAACTTTGTGAAACTAGGGTGCAGCCAATACAACGTGACAGACTTGTCCATCTTCAGTGATAACTTAAACTTAACACTGCGAGACCTGAGAGCGCAGATCAGCAACCAAAGTAAGCACTTCGCGACGGCGCAGGCGGTGAAGGGTAACAATCCAGCGTACGGCCTTTTTCAGTGCAGAAACTACCTCTCCATCTCCGACTGTCTCAAGTGCTTCGATTTCGCCGCCGTTCACATACGCAACTGCTCTGTCGGCGTTACCGGTGCTCGTATCATCTACGAAGGTTGCTTCCTCAGGTGCGTAGAACTCCTACTTTGACTTTTTAAAATTCCCTTGTTGGGGACAGATACGTATTTCATTACAAAACAAGACACATGGAACTACTTTATTATTTTTAAAAAATTAAGTGAGATTAATTTTTTATATAAATATCAGATTTCATTAAAGATAAAACGAGTACATATAAAAGTCCAACTTAACTACATAACTAGTGTTTAGGTGGGTAGGGGAAAACAACAAACATAAGACACAAAGTAAACTAAAAAGAAGATACGAGACTAAGTTACACAAAGTAAACGAAAAAGAAGATACGAGACTAAGTTAGATTGTTCATAACTTGCAATAACTATTATGAATTGATTTAAGTTTACTTTATTTTATATTAATTAACACCCAATTACATACTGTACACTCACAACCAAATAGGAAAAAGATAAATCATTTTTTATTCTAAAACAAGATAAATTATTCTTTTTTAAAAACATAAGGAGTAGGCTCCATTGATAGTAGAGATTATTTTGCCAAAGGTATTGAGGATAATATAGACATTTCTTAACTAAGTTGCTGCATATATAGTTGAGATTTGAATTCCTATCTACTTGTTTAAACAACGAGAACCTTACTCTTCATGCCAACTTTAGTTGGTTCGAAATAAATTATTCTTACATAATAATATATTTGACAAATATGAAAACATTTTTAATTTAGAAAATTTTTTAAGGATAAGATAGAAGGTATTGAAAAATAACAATATTTCTTCAATTTAAATAACAATTAAAATTATGAAAATAATTGATAACAAGTCTAAGAAAATAGTTGCTTGATTATGATAAAATTTTAAAATAAGTGAAGTATATTTATTTTGATCCATAATAATACCAGTGAAATAAAAGGCAAAGAAATGTCTTCCAATATTCCATATATCGTGGATAAAAGGTATTAAATTTATTTTTTATTGTGTTTCGATGTTTTCTACTTTAAATAATTTATGTGTATATATATTTTTTAATAGACGAAAGGCCTTTTTAAAAGTTTTAATTAAGCTGTCCTTTAGAGGAAGAGGAAGGAAAAATAATTTATTATAAATACCCAAAAATCTGTTGATACACGTAATTTTTTAATCAAAAATCAATTGAGATATTTTGCGCGGCGTGTCCATATTATAATTACTATATATACTCACTTGAATGAACCTCTTATATTTTCTTCAAATTTTTAAAGATCCTTTAATCAAACTCTGATCGACATCACCAGGAGAACGGATCAAACCTCACATTAATCCTAACACAAATGTACAAACACATAAAATTAAAGAAGCAATAAAAAATTATACAGGAGACTTGGATGTAACTAGCGGAATGGAAGTCAGAATAGAATACGAAACAATAAAAAGTAACAGTTTTTATTAAATGATAATAACAAGGATATGATAGATATCATTTATCGTTTCTTTTTCTCTTTTGGCGTTGCATCAAGGTATGAGAGCAGTGGATTCTTCGATCAGAACACAGACGCTGGAAACAACATAATCTGTGGAAATGGGACGATCACAAACGCCACTGAACTTGCTTCAACTGTGCAACAAGTGTTAACGGATCTGGACATAGCAACACCAAGAATCACTGGTTACTATGCAGCCACTGAAACGTCTGTTCCTAACAGTAATGGTTCAAGCATTTATGCCATTGCTCAATGTATTGAGACTCTTACACAAATTGGCTGCCAGGATTGCCTCAACATTGCCTTAAGAAATTTTCAGATCTGTCTTCCCAACTCTAATGCTAAAACCTATGATGCTGGTTGTTTCATGAGATACTCCACTAGAGCCTTCTTTGCTGACAATCAAACCATTAATATTAGGCCCTTCTTGAAGCAAGGTATCTTAAAAACTCAGATTATGTGTGTCGGGTTTTGTTCTGTTATGAGTGTTACATCAGGGAACCTCACGAGAGAAATGTTGTACTATATGCTCATAATGGTTCTTTCACTTTTTTTTTTTTTTTATCGATTTTGACTTGTAGGAGGTTCAAGCAAGAGGAAGGCCATTATTGGGGGAGTGGTTGGAGGAGGATCGTTTATTTTGATTCTTCTTGCATTATTTGCTTTGCACAGACGATCAACGTCATCCAAGAAGATTCATAGAGGTAAGATAACTAGGAAATTAAAGACTTTATTATTCAATTTGAAATTGATGATTTAATTATACGCCACATCCATGCTTTGGTTTTCCCTACAGGTGATATCTTAGGAGCAACTGAGTTGAAGGGCCCAATTAATTATAGGTATAATGATCTTAAGAAGGCCACAAAAAATTTCAGCAAAGAAAATAAACTAGGAGAAGGAGGCTTTGGTGATGTATACAAGGTAAACTTGTAAATATTTGTCTTCAATATTATAATCGATACCCCTTTTTAAAGATATTATTGATTCTAAACGTGTTGCTTGTATTGAATATTCTACTACGAAAAATCGTGTTGTCATCTGCTGTTCGAAATCTGGTTGATTAGTTGACTTGATTCCATATTAGAGATGAGCTTGATCTAATGGAACCAAAAATTTTTGTCACACTAATGGAACCATTTTTATTAACATATGAGATGTATTGCATAGCCATCAGATCAAATAATGGGCCTGATTTAAGATATAGGAGAGGACAACACAAGTTGCATACAGGTGCTTTTCATTGATTCAGTCTACGTACGTTTCTTAACATTCGTTAAACAAGGTTCAAAAAATTTCAATATATGCTATATAATAGTTACTTTTATGAATGACTTCTATTTACTTACTTTTTTATGAATTGTAATTATTTCAATAAGCACGATCTATATACTATAAGAATAACCTATCCTTGTTGGATAGGGCACTCTCAAAAATGGGAAAGTGGTTGCTGTCAAGAAATTGGCTTTAGGGCAATCCAAACAGATGGAGAAAGATTTTGAAAGTGAAGTGAAGCTTATAAGTAATGTTCATCATCGGAATCTTGTCCGGCTTCTTGGATGTTGCAGTAAAGGCCAAGAGAGACTTCTTGTTTATGAGTACATGAAGAACAACAATGTTGGCACCTTCTTGTTTGGTAGGCAAAATTTAAATAATATTTTTAATTTTTTTTCTGGCCTTGTTTTTTAAAAGTTTGATGATGATATACAAACATGTTTTCCTACGAATAAACATGTTGACTTCTTCACAACAGCATTATATACAATTCAATCGTTCTATATAGAAGATACTAAAATCAAATACTTAGCATGAATTTCTTGTATCTTTTTGAGAATCATCTTTTAAGATCTTCTATTCCTCTTTTGATAATTTCTAAATTGTTAAAAACAGGTAAAAATAAAGCTCCCTCAACTGGAAGCAACGTTACAATATAATTTTAGGCACAGCAAAGGGTTTGGCCTATTTGCATGAGGAATTTCATGTGTGTATCATACATAGAGATATAAAGACTAGTAATATTCTTTTGGATGATGATTTGCAACCTAAAATTGCTGACTTTGGATTGGCAAGGCTCCTTCCACATGATCTATCTCATCTCAACACAAAATTCGCGGGAACAATGTAAGTAAAAGCACATGGAATTATTCATCTTTTGTTTATATCATGTGAACATAAGGGACTGTAAAATAAAATCATTTTATTGATTAAATGAACAATGTTATATATGTTGTTGTATCCATGTGTTTCTGCACATTAATTTTATCATTTATAAACGATACAACCCTTTAACAGCACATGAATATTTCAAATTTTGTGTGATGTGATCTTTTGTGATTGATTTGATTCATTATGTCATATATATACTATGCTTTTGTTAGGGGATATACAGCGCCTGAGTATGCAATGCATGGACAACTATCAGAAAAGGCCGATACCTATAGTTATGGCGTTGTAGTCCTAGAAATCATAAGTGGACAAAAGAGTGGTGAAGCAAAGGCTAATGATGAAGGCGAATTCCTCCTTCAAAGAGTAAGAAAATTCTCAATTAATAAAACAAAGTGCCTACATGATCTCCAATATAACGTGACAAATGAAATGAACATCTTTTACAGTTCAACGTTACATAACTGACACTTTCTTCAAAAGTCATTCATCTATATTATAATTTTGGTAAAGCACTTGATAGTAATAATCTAAATAATTACCCGAAATTATCTTTTCTTCTTAATTTAATTCTCTTTATTTTACATCATCTTGATTCCTGGCAGGCTTGGAAACTCTATGATAAAGGCACGCACTTAGATTTTGTGGACGAAACCTTAGACCCTAATGAGTATGATGCAGAGGAACTAAAGAAAATCATAGAGATTGCTTTGCTTTGCACTCAAGCATCTCCTGCAACGAGGCCAACAATGTCTGAAATTGTTATTATGCTCAAAGGAAAGGGCTTAATGGAGAACAGGAGACCCACTATGCCTGTCTATGTTGACCCCAATTTTAATCCCAGAAGAGAGTCTTCAACCTCTAATAATTCATCTTCATCAAATGCTACTGCCTCCACCATTGCTCTGTCTGGAAGGTGATGATCTCATTTTGCAGGAACGTGATTAAGGGTCACTTGACGTTTGAACTGAAGAAATAATTTTAATAATGACTAAGAAAATTACAGAGTATGAGGGTTCATCTTCATTTCATAATTCATGATCTGTGTGCAGTGAAACATCGATTCTATAGGTATAGATTGGAAGTGCATGTGAAAGGTAGGTCACTTTGGGCTGGTGTGAAATGAACTTTGTGAGTTTTTTTTTTTTTTTTTTGAAAAGCGAATGTCAACTTTTTCCTCCACATTTTATTACCCATTCTGGCTGGTCACTTGTATTGTAAAATAGAGCATATTGACGACTGTTACGTTCTAGTGCAGAATATATGTTTGAAAAATTTTACATTTGCACGCGAATCCTTGGTGAATAAGGAAGAAATATAAAAAAATGACCAAAAAACCTTGGTTTAAATCTGGACATTTGATTCTATATGTGAATCCTTATTCCAAGGGATGAGAAAAAAAGTAAAGGAGGTCTTTTTTTTTTTACTGTATGAGAAGGATGAAACAAGGATACACATTTTGCGAGATTGCCCTAGAGACAAATATATGAAAGAAGCTGTGGATTATAAGAAAATAAAGTTATAACCTAACTTGAGGATTTATATGTAGATGGTTATTTCAAAACATACAAGAGAAGTAGCGTGTTTCTGGAACCACATGTTAGGGGCGGAACCAGCTTGGAATGTGGTGGCCGAATTAAAAAAAAAAAAAAAGATACGCGCAGAGATATATGGATTGAAATCATTTAAAGCTGAGATTTGTAAATTTCTGTCAAGTTTTCCATTTTCAGAAATAAAAAATTTTATATTTTATAAAAATAATAAAATGAGAAAAATACTAAAAAAAAGGGTTAAGTTACAATTTTACCTCTGAACTATTTTCAGAGGAGTAATATTACTTCTAAACTATTCATCATAGTAATGTCGCCTTTAAACTAGTTAAATCAGAGCAATTAATGTTGCCCCCGCTGTTTAAAAATTATAAACATTCATTAGCTATAGCTATAGTAGAACTCACTTTTCATTAACTCTCTTTATTTAACAGACGTTTATGATTTTTAAATGGCAAGGACAGTAATACTCTTTTAAGAATAGTTTAGGGATAAAACTGCACCTTAACAAAAAGAGAGAGAGAGAGAGAAAACTTTATTGAAATTCATAGAATTCAGCTTCAAAGAATTTAGATCCCATATATATATATATATATATGTGCATTTATTAATTAATAATAGAATTTTTTTAATGAAATAACAATATTATTTTATTTAGCACTCCCTCCTATCTTTATTATAGGGTACTTTTTAAAAGAATTTTTTTTGTTCTTAATATAAGACATTTGATAGGATATTAATTATGTTTTTTCAATATTGTCCCTATTTAAATTCATTAATTATGGGAGAAAAATATAATGTGAACTTTAATTTTTTTATTTAAATAGGGGTAAAGTTAAAAGTTTACTATAATTTAAGACAAAATTAATGACTTACCAACTTCTTTTTTATAGTGATGAGGTAGTTAGAAGTGTCGTATAATAGAAATGAGAGGGAGTATGTTGATAGTGAATAAATAAAATATCAAATGATATACTAATAGCCTAATATTAAATTTTATGTGTGAAAAATGTAAAGGAAAAACTTATATTCTTGACCTTATATACTTAAAGGTATTTGTTTTCAATTAAATCAAAACATATAAATGTTTATAGATTATTTATTCCATAACAAACTCTTCTTATTAACATTCTTAATACATTAAAATTTACTTGTTGTGATTTGATTAGATAAAAATATATTAAATATACAAGGTTAGGTATCTAAGTCTTTCCTAAAATGTAAAGGGAGCTGCTGGAAAAAAAAATAGTATATTGGCATGGGTGATTAAAAATTCTTATTCTTTTGTAAAAAAACTTCTCATATTAATGTCATGGGGTATATCACCATATATTAAGGATTTATTTATTTATTTTGAGAGAGGGGAGGGGGGCCGTGGGTCTGCTCCTGCACATATATTTGTTTTTTGCCTAATGCTAATTAGTTCAGAGGAATCATTGTATCCTACTTTTGATCTAAAATAATAAATTGTTCGTAAAAAACAAACAATTAAGGTGTGGTGTTGCGAGGTGTGTCAGAGATGTGGGGTCTCAAGAGAATAGAAGAATCTGACTTCTAATCAAACGTGGGGAACCCGGGCTCCCTTACGACAGTTCACCTGGATGTGAGAATGCGAAGTGAAGAACACTAATGTAGATGCAGAAAAGCAGAGATGCATTAATTAAAAAAAAAAAGGTGGCAGGCTATGCCGGCCGTACAATGAAAAATAAAGCTAAAGTTACATGATAAAAAGAAAAATAAAGTAACAGATACAGAGTCTGAGATTGATAGTTTGTTGATGCTGATGATGATGCCCCTTGTTGAGAGAGAGCTCCTCTATTTATAGATGATTTTGGCTTGATGCCTAAGCCCCATGATTGCCACTTTTCTTGAATTTAGGAAGCACTTCCTCCATTATGTTCACTCATCATGAGTGATGGTCTTGACTTAATAGCTAAGACTTCATAAATATTTTTTTTATATAATTATTTTAAAATCAATTAAGTTGAGTTGGGGCAGGGTCTCCAAATTCACAATTTGGATGCAAACAAAAATAGATGAGGTATAAAATGCTGAGTCAGAAATGATGTTAAACTCCAATATGCGACTGTTATTACTTAATGTGACTAGTGATATCATTTGAAAAGTCGCATTATGAAGAAAACATTACTGCAATAATTAAACAATAAAATTGGATTATTGATGCCTTGTTTAAAATCAAAAGAACATTATATGCAATTCAACCAAATTTTAAGAGAGATTAATGTTATTTACCCAATTGTACACTGTAATAATCAATCAGCAAATAATTTCCAAGATTGATGTATACTTTACACAGGCAAATAGTCAAGAATGAAACGAAGGACAACCATTTTCTGTTTTACTCCTTATTTTTCCTATTACTACTTTTTATTTTCATTTTTATGATCCAAACTCCAAAATCACCCTTAACTGCATGTTTCTGGAAAACATTATCTTTCAGATAGTGAAGGGGTGAAAGCAGGAGCATTTTGCAAGTATAGAAGTCTCCCACAGATATCTCTAATTAGTTTCAATCAAGATAGGCATAGTGGGCCTTATGTTCTCTAATAAATCCTTGTTTTGAAGCAGAGCAACTACTTCAGACATCATCGGCCTTATATCAGCAGATGCTTGGGTGCAAAGCAAACCAATCTCTATGGTTTTCTTTACTTCTTCGGCATCATAACCATTAGGGTCTAAGGTCTTGTCCACCAACTCTAAATGCCTCTCTTTCTCATATAGCCTCCAAGCCTATCAAATTGAACAAAAGTTAAGTGAAATAAAATTGTCAGAAAAAGCAAAGGAAAAGTTATTCGCAAAAAGGAAAAAAAAAAAAAAGATATGTTGTTAGAAAAGATCCCCAAATAAATTATCACAAAAATGAAAAATTTCCTTTTAAGTAGTCAAGGTAAACATCTTACTCTTTGAAGAAGGAATGCCCCTTCATCATCACCATCAACATTTAATTCTCTGCATTTTTGACCACTGATTATTTCTAGAACTACAACACCATAGCTGTAGATATCAGCTTTCTCCGACAACTGGCCATGGATTGCATACTCTGGTGCTGTATATCCTCTATATAATAATGTTATGTAAATAATTAGAATAAGAGCTCAAGCGAAGACGTGTATCATATGATCCAACAAAATCTGAAATAAACATATGCAATGTAAATAATTGCGACATGTTTGAAAATCATGAGTTCATTGAAGTATCAAGGAAAAGGTGTAAGAAGAGTGTTCTATTGACTCACACACACATTCTATCATTGCCATGCAAAATTCATGTACAATAGGAGTTAAAAAAAGCTAAACAGATATAGTTATTTCTACTTACAATGTTCCTGCGAGTTTTGTGCTTACATGAGTTTTATCTCCAGGTAAAAGTCTTGCTAGTCCAAAATCAGCAATCTTAGGTTGTAGATCATCATCTAAGAGGATGTTGTTAGTCTTTATATCTCTATGTATAATACGAACATGAAATTCCTCATGTAGATAAGTCAAACCTCTTGCTATTCCTAAAGTTATATCATATCGCTGCTTCCAATTGAGAGAACCTTTCTTGTTACCTGTGTCCCAAGTTTACAGACTTTGAAAGATAAGGGGGGGGGAACAAATTCTTTAAAACAAAATTATTTCCAAATTGTTACACTAAGGAATTGATATATATGCTTGCTTAATTCTCTAATGAAATTGTGAATATGAGAAAGCTTTGTTCGAGAAGTCAATGATACATTGTTAAGTTGAAAATATGTGCACATGTCATGAAATTATTGAGAAGCATAATAGATAATGGTTATAAAATTCATTTAAAAATTCTACTGGATGATAGAAGATACCGAATAAGAATTTGTCAAGACTGCTATTTTTCATGTATTCATAGACAAGGATTCTGTTGTGGCCTCTACTACAACATCCCAAAAGCCGAACAAGATTTCGATGATGAACATTACTTATAAGGGTCACTTCACTTTCAAAATCTTCCTCCACTCTATTGAAGTGGTGTAAAGTCAATTTCTTGACTGCAATAACTTTCCCATTCTTCAAAGTGCCCTATTCATGATGATAAGAAAAACCTTGATATTATTAGAAGTTCTGCTTTTGTTCTTTTGCAAATCTAATTTTGGCAACACTATACAAATTATTCTCATTTAAAAACATCCTTGCTTGAGAACACGTTCTAGATTATAATATTGAAAATCAAGTCAAAGTTACCTTGTATACAACCCCAAATCCTCCTTCTCCTAGTTTATTTTCTTCACTAAAATTTTTTGTTGCCAGCATCAAATCGTTATAACTGTAAGTGACTGGGCCTTTCAACTTGCTTACTTCAGTTAAGTCGCCTGTTATGGAAAACGCAAGTCAAAGTCTCTTAAAAAATGATAAAAACTAGTCAAGGATCCATCCTCTCATTTATGTGAAAACCAAAGCATCTCATATTAAATTATTACGAAGTGATGTATAGTATTTTTCTTACTTTTCATGTTGCTTCCTCTAGGAACCGTCTTATTTCCTTTTGGTTGTCTAATCCAGGCAAACAATGCAAGGAGGATCAAAGCAAGAACTACACCAACAATTCCACCAATAGTTTTCCCTAATTTGTTGCTTGAACCTGCAAGACAGGAAATTTCAAATAATTCATTTTTAAATCAGTCACTTACTTTGAAGCTGTGGCATTGTTATAAGGCATCATCTAGAAGGATTCTTTGTTCTTTAATATGAGACTTTTGATGGGTATTAATTATATTTTTTCAGTATTACCCCTATCCAAACTCATTAGCTAAAGAAAGTAATGCAAATTTGCGATAATTTTCATTTAAATAGGGATAAAATTAAAATTTTATTCATTTTTATATAAAATTATTGACTTAACCACCTCTTCTTGAATCCAATGAGGTAGTTAGAGATTTCTTATAATAGGGACTGAAGGGAGTACATAGCATGTGATTTAAAATAATAAAATTACTCATGAGGAAGATAAAACGTGATGTTACAGTTATCCGAGGGATCATCAAGGTAAATTTATCTAAGAAAAACGGGCCTATATATTTAAATGTTTGAATGAAATGTACCTTTTTTAACCAAGGGTGTGATGTCAATTGTCTGGTTATCATGAAAAAGTGAAGTAGTGGAATATCTCATGAAACAGCCTGCATCGAAAGCTCGACCATCTGAAAAGGGAAGACAAATCTGCAGATTACTGTACCCAGCCTTCAAGCAATCTAGGCACCCCTTCGTTGTGATAGTCTCAACACATTGAGCGAAGGCATAAACAGTTGCACCATTATTTGAAACGTTCATCTTCGTGGCTGCGAAGAAACTAGGGATTGTAGGTGTTGCTATTTGGAGATTGGTTAGCAGTCGTTGTATTGCTTCGGTGAATGCTGATGAGGCCCCTCCTGTAGTTTCATTCCCACATGATACACCGTCGAAAGTTTGCGTTGCCTCGTTAAAGAAAGTGTTATAATTGTACCTTAACGCAACATAAAATATCCTAAGTCATTTTTCCAAGTTCAAAATATGGATTCTATTGTGAATAAATCAAGTTAACCAAGGGATGAATTTCTTACCTTTGGATTGCTTGGATATGTTCAGAATTTAATTGATTAATTTTGGGAGACACAACTATTGATCCTTATAGTTTTAACATATTTTAGTATATATCTTGTACTTTTTTTTCATTGTTTCAAGTCCTTTTAATTTTTCTACCCGCAACCTTGGTTTCTCTACTTTTAAATATGTCCAAAGGGACAATGATGTGACGCTAACGGTATTAAATATGTTGATATGCTATTAACAGTGTTAATGAAGATGCTGAAGTGTTAAAATCTTGATGAGGTTGCATGCTGTAGTAGTTGATTTCGTTCATCTAACCAAGCTTTGTTTTTTTTTCTTTTTTTTATTTTGTTGGTCATAATCTTTAGTGTCTTTGGGGTTTTAACACTTCAGCATTCTCATTAACAACGTTAGTGATAGATCTATATATTTAACATCTTTTGTGCCACATCATCATCCCTCTAGACATACTTAAAAATAGAGAGACTAATAAGATTGCAGACAGGAAAAACTAGATGGACTTGTGACAATTGGAAAAAGTACAGAAACTTGTACCAAAATTTGTTAAAACTATAGGGACCAATAATTGTGTTTTCCAATCAATTTTTTTTATAAATAATAAAAATCAACTAATTAATAGATTAATCAGCATGGTATATTTGATTGATATCAAAACTTAACTTTGGAAATCAGCATTACGAAAATAGCTAATTTTTGTGTATTATGAATATTAATTTTATGATAGACAGGCTATATATCCATAAATGTATCGAGGGAATAAAACCTCATTCAAGCCCATTTACTGCAAGTTATTCTGTTTATACATGTCAGAGTTGAATTTTCTCAGCTGATATATAAAAATACACACACACACACACACACACACACCCCTTCTTGAGAATTTTTGAATCTTGATATCTGTAATACGGTAATGGATTTCAGCATTGTTAAACTTTAGAAGTTTGTCATTTTAGCATATTTGCATATATTTTAAAGGGGCTTTTGTAGATATAGCTATATTATGAGACCAAATCAAACAAATAGGCCAATATTTAGTATCTTTTATATTATGGCTAGTTTATTATATTTATTAATGATATATCGTTGTCTATAAATAATAAACTCTTGTAAATTTTCAATTTTTAAATAATAAACTCTTTGTATATCAATATAAACTCCTTATATATTAATGTGTACCTGTCATGCTCTCGCATTTTCAAAACTCTGATCTATATTTTTTGGGTATAAGATTTTTTTTGCCCAATGGGTCAATTTATCCTATTTAAAATACTCAAGATAGAAAAATGTGCATTTTATTTTTGTTTTCCACTATGCTCTTCTGGGGTTTTAATGTTTAGATAGCTCATGGATTAACGTGTATGCTGTATTGCCGAATCAGCAAGCAACGCAAGCTAATATGATAATAAAGTGGCAGTAAATATCTGATGAAGAAAAGTAAAGAGAAGTCAACTCACCTGAGTAAAACAACAAAAGAGAGAAAGAAATGAAGAAAAGTAAGTTACCTGATGAAGCAGCCGTCGTAGACGACATAGGCACCCGGAGAGGGTGACGTGGCGGCAGAACAGGTGCGGATCTGGACGGCAGCGACGTCGAAGCAGGCGGCACAGTCAGCGGTGGAAAGGTAGTTTCTGCATTGAAAAAGTGTGTAAACTGGGAAATTTTCGCCATTGCCTTTCTGTGCCGTGGCGAAGTGCTTCTTCTGATCCATGATTTGGCCTCTGATGTCCCGAAACGTTGCGTTTAGGTTTTCCGTGAGGATAGACGAGTTGGAAACAAGAAAGAAGTCAGGTGGGTTGCACCGGGCACTAAGAAGATGAATTTGTGGTTCTGAAGCGACGCCGTCGAGACTGCAACATGACCAGACTATGAAGGTAAGTAACGGAAGCAGATTACAATGAGGTCCGAGCATGTTTAGTGTTGAGAAGAAGACGACGACGACAAAGAAGAAGATGAAGATGAGATGTCAACGTATTGGCTTTGATTTGCCAATATGGAGAATAAAGTGGACAGAGAAAGGAGGGTATAAAAGTAATCATCATAATACGAACAGACCAACAACAACGGCGATTTTAGGGAATGAGAAGGTCGTAGTGACGATTATTATGCTCTTTTTAGGTAACAAGTGACGATTTTTCAAGTTGCATGTCGTGGTGAGACCATGTGCAAAATAGTGATAAGTGATGTTTCTCGCCATTAAAAAATGATTCTGTGTGAATAATTTTGTGCGAAATACGAATGAGTGAAAAATTAATTGACGGAATATTTGACGAGATGCACTACGGAATCACCAGAAAAGGCGATCTTACCCACATGGTCGATGAAAGTTCATGTATACTTAATTTCATAACAACATCCAACAACGTTGACTTTTATTGCGTGGATCTGCATCTGCATTTATTTTTTCTGGTAATAGAAAAAACGTAAAGAGCTCGCAAGAAAACAATGAAGCTAACACTTGGACAGGTAATATGAGGGTATATTTCAATGCTTGGAACCGCCCCCAAAAAGGCTTCAATAAAGTTGAAATACTTTCGCCCCAAAACATACTCTATGTATATTTCGAGTTTGATTACATATTAAGCTTATTAAATAAGAAAATCATATTATTATAGCATAATCCTATATTCTTTGGTTTGGTTGGGAAAAAACATTATACAGAGAAAACAGTTGGAAAAATTTACTATTTTTAAAAGTTTTTGGCTCCCTAGTATATATTCTCTCTATTTTCCTCCAATTTTTTCCTTCCAACTTAAACGAAGAGTTGGCAAATGGCTGCAAAACTTATAAAAATGGTTATCTATAATCTTAAAGAGCCATATATGGCCATTAACTATAATAATCCAAAGCATCAAATTATTGGAATTAACTGTAAGTTAATGGATAATGGAATGAACTCCAACGGCCAGTCACCAAGTTCAATTCCATTACAAACATGGTAAGCAACCGCCCTATTTATAATAAATATTTGCACACAAAAAAGATAAATTACTGCTATAGATGTCTTCATGTATAGCTTAATATAAAACCTCATTATTTATAGTTAATAATAATAGCAATACACGGAAAACACGCAGATACTCCCTCTTCTCCAAATTATGAAATAACTTTAGAAGTATTTTGTTAGCCAAAAATATAAGACAATTTGACATAAATAAGGTGGTATAGAAACTGAAAGGAAAAAAAAAAAAGAACTCTCTCAAAGCTTATTTCTCTGATTTTGTGATGATCCACATAAAGTAAAGCATCCTATTTATGCTACTAGAATGGGGAGGGGATTACAATTGGAATTAACATGGGTTAATATTATTGAGCCATTCATGTTATTATTGACATGAATGAAGAATGAATGTCGTTAATGCATCCAATGATGCCTGCGTTGATGGAGTTGAATGACTGTGGCTTATTCCAATTCATCTTCCCTAAGTGGGACAAAACTCACCCTTGAGTCAAATTTGGCATTATCATCAAGATAGGGTGACAAGTCAGCAACGTTAAAAGTAGCAGAAACTCCATAAGCACCAGGTAATTTAACCTTATAAGCATTATTATTGATTTTTCGTATAATCTTGAATGGACCATAAGCTAGGTGCCAACTTGGCATTGGGTTGTTTAGAAAAACGTTTTCTTATCAGATGTATTCAAATTAAGTCTCCCACATTAAAGATCTATTGCTTTCAATGCTTGTTCCATTGCATCTTGATTTTAGAATTATGCTTTTGGACTCTTTTATGAACTTGCTCATGCAACTTTTTTATTTCCTTAGCCCTTTGATCTACATCAGAACTATATGGCTACTTATCAATTGAAGGTGCCAAGTCTTGTAGACAATTGGGTCAAGTGCCATAAAAACTTCAAATGGACACTTCTTGGTTTCTTGGTTGACAGAATTGTTATAGGAAAATTCAATTTGAGCATGAATGAGATTCTATTGCTTCAAGTTCTTTCCTACAAAACTTCAAAGAAGATTGCCAAGAACCCTATTTATAGCTTTAGTTTGACTGTCTATCTTGGGATGACTAGCATTGCTAAATTGAAGCTAAATTCCCATCTTCTTCCATAGCATCCCTCAAAAGTGACTAAGAAACTTAATATTACAATCAGAGTTGATAGTCTTGGGAATGCCATGGAGATTAACAATCTCTTTGAAGTATAAATCTACAACTTGAATTACATCAGTGGTCTTCTAGAATGGAAGAAATGGGCTATCTTTGAAAATCGATCCATGACTACCATGACAAAATCCTTTTGCCTTTAAGTCTATGGTAACCAAGAACAAAATCCATCTCACATCTTCTCATGGTGCTTCTAGAACTAGCAATGGCATATATAATCCTGTATTTTAACCTTTTGGCCTTAACCAAATGACATATACAGTATTGTTGCATGTGCTGGTTGACATATTGTTCAAACCTTAGCTAATAGAAATTCTCCTTGACTAGATAAACTATTTTGTCTCTTTTGAAATGACTAGCTAGCCTTCCATCATGAGCTTCCCAAATTATGGCCTTTTTTAAGAACCCTGAGGAATGTATAGGGTCTTGCCTCAGAATTGAGATCCGTCATGTTTGTAAAATCACTAGAAAGATTGATTTACAGTCACTTCCCATACTCCATAAAAATTAAGGTCATCCTGTATAACTCTTTAACAAGTTCAAACCCAACAACTTTTGGTATGCATTGTTGTGAGCAAAACATGTTGATGACTAAGAGCATCAGTTACCAAGTTTAAAGTTCCAGTCTTATACTTAAAAAGGAATGGAATAATATTGTAAGATTTCACTCTAACGAGCATTCTTATGGTTGATCTTCTGTTAAGAATTCAAATACTTGAGGGCCTCATGTTTAGAAAAGAGTATGAACTCTTTGTTTAGGAAATAGTGACTCCAATGTTAGGGAGCTCAGACAATCGTGTAGAATTCTTTATAATAGGTAGAATACCTAAGATTAGAATCATTAAGCTTTTCACTAAAAAAAAGTGATGGGATGGCCCTTCTGGCTTAAGATAGTACCAATTCTAGTATTGGAGGCATCACAGCTAACCTTAAACACTTGGTTAAATTTGAGAAGAGCTAAGATGGGAGCTTCAGTCAACCTCTTCTTTAGCTTATTGAAACTTTTTTAAGCTTGCTTTATCCATTAAAATTTGTCTCCTTTAATGCAATTTGTAAGTGGTGCAGCAATAGAGCTAAAATTGTGGATGAACCTTTTGTAAAAAAGCTCATTTATGGAAGCTTCAAACTTCCTAAATCATTCTTGGAATTAGCTAGCTATTAATGGCTTCATCTTTGCTTGAATCAACTTGAACACCCTCTGCAGTGATGATGTAACCTAAGAACATAACTTCATTGGTAAGGAAGGTGTACTTCTTTTGATTAGCATAAAGCTTTTGTTCTCACAGAGCTTGCAAGACTTTTTGTGAGTGATCTAAATGTTCTTCTTGACTCTTACTATAAATAAGAATGTTGTCAAGGTAAATAACAACAAATTTTCCAATAAAAGGTCACAATACTTGATTCATCAGGTGTATGAATGTGGTTTAGGCATTTATTGACTCAAAAGGCATCATATTCCACTCATAGAATTCATCTCTTATCTTAAAAGTGATCTTTTATTCATCTCCTGGCTAAATTATGATTTGGTGATATCTACTACAACAGTCAATTTTGGACAAGGTAGTGATACCATGCAATTGGTTTAACATGTCATCACGTTACGGTATTGAGAACCAATACTTGATATTTATCTTGTTCACAAATTGACAATCGATACACATTCTCTAACTCCTATTCTTCTTAGGCATTAGACGAATAGGTATAGTACATGGGCTAAGACTTTCTCTAAACAACCTTTTCCCCAGCAGCTCTTTAACTTGTCATTGGACTTTGGCATGTTCCTAAGGACTCATTCTACAATCAAGCTTGTTAGGAAAAACAACTCCTAGAATAAAGTTAACGGCGTGCTATATATCTTGCATAGGTGGCAACCAGGGTGGTATCTTATTAGCTATCACGTCTAGAAATTTAGATAGTAAGGGTGTAACTCCCAGTAAAATGGTAGACTTATTGTTTGCCTCAAGCACTAGAATAAAACTTATCATTTAGGCTTCAAGTTTCATCACCTTAAACTCCTCTTGGTCATCAAAGTCACCAATGGCTTAGCTTCTTTTAAGGCTTTGCTCAACTCACTTGGGCGGTAAGGGTGCTAACTTGATCTTAACATTGTCTTTGGTGAAAGAGTAAGTGTTTGCTAGTCCATCATGCAGAGTATATTGGTCATATTGTCATGGCTTCCCCAAAAGAAAGGTGCATGCATCTATAAGAACAACATTGTATAAAACTTCATTGCAATATCTATTCCCAATAGAAAAAGTAATAAGGCATTATTTAGAAACTTTACCTCACTTCCCTTATTAAGCCAATGAAGCTTGTAAGGATATGGATGGTCATGCGTTAGTAGTTCCAATTTCTCCATTATGTAGTTAGATATTACATTTTCACAACTTCCATTATTAATGATGACACTACAAACTTTTCCTTAAGTCGTGCAATGAGTGTGAAAAATGTTGCATCATAGCAAGGTTCTTCCTTAACTATAGTTGTATGCAAACTTCATCTAATCACCAATACTTCTCCTTAATTTGCATACATATACTCTTCATCATATACTAGATTAGTTTCATAAGATGCAGTCTCCTCCTCATCTTCTTTAGGCGCTAGCTTTATAAACTTGCCCTTCCTTAATGGTAACAACCCTTCGAGTAAGATAGTCCATGGAAATATGGTTGAATCCTAGGCATTTAAAGCATTTGGGTACTTTAAAGCCAGATTCCTTAGCAACATTTGGTGGCCACTTGCCCGTAGTACTAGGTTGTAACTTGCTTGAAGGGCTAAGCTGCTGAAACTTTACCTTGTGAGCATTGGAATAACCCCTAGAGGAAGAAGGTTGAAAAGAGGATCTTTTAGGTGTCTACTTCTCAACATGATTGGCTAGACGAAATACATC